GTACAGTAGGTGGCGGTATGCACCTGAACAAGTTGGTTGCGACCCGCCATAAAACCCAGAGCAGAAGAAGAAGAAGCAGGCGGGAAGGCGCGGAAGTTTGGAGCTACGTGGAGAGAGTGAACGAACAGTGGCCGGAAAACATAGCTATCTGCATAAACTGTACTGTGAATGTAACATCATGTCAAATAGTTCAGATGGGGATGAGATGGAGTGGATGATGTCCAGATCTGTAAGATCGAAAAGGGACTTGAGAGAAAGAGAGAGAGGGAAAAGTTGGTCAGAACATAGCGAGACCGGCGAGGGAAGTAATAACAAGAAACTGAGATCTAGCCAGAGTGAGAAACAGAAGCCTGAGAATACGGAGAAAGTGCAAGGAAACGATTGGAAAGTTATAATTGAGTTCAACTAGGATGGTGGACACTATCACCCAATTAAACTTACCAAGGCGATTGAGAAGGAGATTGGCAAAATCAAATTTGCAAGATTTTTGAACAATAAACGAATACTGATACATGCAAGCAGCAAACAAGAACAAGAAAAGATTCTTAGTATGCCCACACTTCAAGGGGAAAGGATGAAGGCCCACATCCCAGGAGCAACAGCAAAGGTTAGAGGAGTTATATCAGGAGTCCCGTTGAATATGTCAATGGAAGATGTTAAAAATGAGATTCTGGGAGGCAAAGCTGTTGAGGCTACTAGACTAAAAGGCAAATGAGATGGATCATTAAAAGACACACTATTTGTGGTTGTGCAATCTGAGAAAACCCTCCCTAAGTCAGTCCAAATGGGATACATAAATTACAGCGTGAGAGAATACATCCCTCCCCCTATCAGATGCTATAAATGTCAAAGGATGGGGCACACAGCTCAGCAGTGCAAAGGAAAGCTAAGGTGTGCTAGATGTGGGGGCCAGCACGAGTATGGGAAATGTGAAAAGGATGCAAAGATTAAATGTTGTAACTGTGGAGGAGAGCATAGTGCTGCATTTGCTGCTGCTTCTACAATAAGGCTATTGTAGAAGCAGCAGGAAAACTTCTTGATATGAAAGATATCAAAGCAGATCAAATACATGCATTGTTGACGGTAATTGAAAATGGAAATACACAAACTGAGGGTTTGGACACTTATAATGGTTCTTCACATACTACAGTGGAACGCACGAAGTCTTATAACTAATGGTCAAGACTTCAAGAAGTACATTCATGAATTAGATGTTGTTCCAGATGCAATATGTGTACAAGAAACTTGGTTACGAGACAGACTAGATTATGTGATACCAGGGATTAGCTCTATAAGGTACGATAGACCTAACAACCGAACTGGTGGAGGGTGCATCACCTTTATCAAGGATGGGTTGGCCTACAGGGAATCCCCATGCTCAGAAGATTCAGAATGTATAATAGTTGAAATCTATAGCCCAAGGAAAGAGGGAAACATTAAATTGATTAATTTCTATAACCCATGCAAAAACTTAGATATCAATAAACTGAATGAAATGGCAGGGACTGTATACAGGAAAGAAATATGGTGTGGGGACTTCAATGCACACAACAGCTTATGGGGCAGCAATCACACAGATAATAATGGGGACATAATTGAAGAAATGATGGAAGAAAGATCACTGGTCTGCATTAATAATGGACAGGGAACACGTATGGATGTGAATAGGGGTAAAACATCATGTTTAGATATCACACTGGTATCAGATAATTTGGTAAACGCATGTGAGTGGTTTGTTATGAATGATTCTACCATAGGAAGTGACCATTTTCCAGTTCTCACTATTATTAACACAAATGTATGTTTCCAAGAAGGAAGTACAATTAACAGCTGGTGCTTTGAGAAAGCAGACTGGGAAAAATTTAGGTTATGTTGTACGAAGTCAGCAAACCTTGTGACGTTAGAAGGTGATGTAGAGGAAGGCACAAAGCAAATTACAGAACGTAAATGCAGCACATTTAAGTATTACAAACAGAACAACAAAGGGCAGGAAGAAAGTGGTCCCCTGGTGGAATGAGGAGTGTAGCAGAGCAGTAAAAGAACGAAACAAAGCCTTTAAAACATTAAAGAAGAATTTTTGGAGTTTTGGATTTTCAAAGGAAAAGGACAGTGGCACGTAGGACAATTAAGTTAACCAAAAAGAAAAATTGGAGAGAGTTCTGTTCCACCATAGGTAGAGGTGTAGAGTTAGGGGATATATGGTCTATGTTTAAAAGAATGAGTGGGAAAAAGAAAGCGATTAAAATCCCAGCTTTGATAGATGGAGGAAAGACGGTGGTGTCAGACAAAGAAAAGACAGAGATGTTGGGTAGGGCTTTTGCGGCTGTGCATAGTGGTGATCACCTTATAGATATTCATAAGCAACAGAAAGACCTGGCACTCAGAGAAAATAAGGACGTGAAGCTGAAGAGGGAGGATGGTACAACCACTTTAGATGTGGATTTTACAATAACAGAACTCAATATAGCTCTGCTTGGCACGGGATATACAGCCCCAGCACAAGACCAGTTATGTTATGCCATGTTCCGACAGCTGCCAGTAGGGTCAATTAAGCTAGTGTTAAGACTGTTCAATAAAATATGGAAGGATGGAATAATACCGAGAAGTTGGAAAAGTGCAGTTATACTACCGTTTAGCAAACCGGGTAAAGACCCAACCAATCCTGGTAATTATAGACCCATAGCTCTGACATCTCACTTATGCAAATGGATGGAGAGGATAATAGTTCGTAGGTTATCACATGTAATGGAACAGAGAGGACTACTGAGTAATATACAAAATGGATTTCGGAAAGGGCGCTCCACAACAGATGCTCTCGTTAGAGTAAGTAATGAGGTAGAAAAGGCACTGAAAATGAAAGAGCTGATGATAATAGTGTATTTTGACATTGAGAAGGCATATGATACTATGTGGAGGGAAGGACTACTTATTAAACTAAATAGAATGGGGTTTGAAGGAACGATTTATAACTGGATACTAGACTTTTTAACAGATAGGAAAATTAGAGTAAAGGTTGGATCAGAAATTTCTCCAGAGTTTAAGGTAAATAATGGCATTCCCCAGGGGAGGGCAATTAGACCTATATTATTCAACATTATGATTAATGATATATTTTCAGATTTAGATGGACACATCAAATCAGCGTTATATGCAGATGATGGGGCCATATGGATGAGAGGAAGAAATGAGACATATGTGTTAGAGAACATTAGGAAAGCAATAGGGAAAGTAGAGAAGTGGTCATTCAAGTGGGGATTTAAAATATCAACAAGCAAATCCTGTTATATGGTGTTCACAAACAAGCGAAAGTGTCATGTACAAAAGCTTTTTCTATATCAGCAGCCAATGGAAAAAGTAAATGAATTTAAGTATTTGGGATTGTGGTTTGATAGTAAGTACACATGGAAAACACACATAAAGCAATTGGAAACTAAATGCAAACAAGTTATTAATTTACTAAGAGCGGTGGTGGGATGCGACTGGGGTGCAGATAAACAGTCACTAATTGACATATATAGAGCATGCATGAGGTCATCGATAGATTATGGTTGCATAGTATATGATGCAGCAGCAAAAACAACATTGGAAAAATTAATAAATTACAATACAGAGCCTTACGGATATGCATTAGAGCCATTAAGACAACTCCCATTAACACAATACTCATAGAAGCTGGAGAGACACCACTGGAGTTAAGAAGAGAGAAACTAGCGCTAGCATATTGGGTCAGATTGAAAGGAAGTGGGAAAGAAAACCCTGCAAAGGAGATAACAAAGGATTGTTGGGAATATTTCAAGTTTTGGGGGCATGGGTTTGGATGGACGGGGGAAAAAAGAGTCAGGGAATACGGAATGGAAGCATTAGATTTCACCACACCCAATCCAGTCAGTAACATTCAACCTTGGCTCTATCCAGACGTAAAAACAGATTTTAGTATACTGGAAAAGAAAAGAGGATGGGGAATAGAGGAAGTGGGAATACGGACAAGCAGCTATCTGAGAAACAGTTTCCATAATTATCTAAAAATCTATACAGATGGATCTAAAAACAAACAGGAATGTGTGGGAATTGGAATACATATACCAGAATTCAAAATAAATATCTCAAAACGATTATCAGATAGGCTATCTGTATATACAGCAGAAATAGTGGTCAGACATGAGCCAGGAATGAGCCAGAAATGGTCAGACCTGATAGGGTGATATTATGCACAGACTCCTTAGCAGTTATTAAAAGCATTCAGTCAATGACATCTGGAAGAGAAGACCTACTGATAGAAATGTTTCACAGCTTACTAAGATTACATCGGGGAGGGATAGGTGTTCAGTTTTGCAGGGTGCCAGCTCATGAGGGAGTAAATGGAAATGAGATTGCAGACAAACTAGCAAAAGAGGCATTACAAAAGGAAATAACAGTTCAAATACCTCTAGGAAAAGGGGAAGGAAAAACAGCCATTAAGAAGAAAGGTACTGAAATATGGCAGAAATGGTGGGAGGAAGACAGGAAAGGAAGTAGTTACTTTAAAATACAAAAGTCTTTCAGTAATAAAAATTATAGCGAAAGGAGCAGGCGGGAGGAAATTATAATGACAAGACTAAGAGTAGATCACACAGGACTGAATGGCACCTTGTTTTTATTGGGGAAAAGGAAGAGTGAAAAGTGTGAAAACTGTGGGGTTAAAGAAAATGTTGAACATATCATTTTGCACTGCATATTGTTTGAGTTGGAAAGACAGATATTTCAAGATAGGGTTCAGGAAGCAGGGAGGGAATGGAATCTGATGGGTACTGGGAACAGAAGGAGAAGAAAAGGGTATAAGAATCACCAGGAAGGAATTATTTAAATTTCTTAAAGACACTGGGTTGGTGAACAGAATATGAGAGCACCTTATTGAGGTTGATAGCGGAGTGATATGATGTTACACACTCCAGTACAGTAGGTGGCGGTATGCACTTCAAAGTTGTTTGCAATCCGCCATTAAGTAAGAAGAAGAAGAAGAAGAAGAAGAAGAAGAAGAAGAAGAAGAATGCAAAAGCCAGAGAAAGGCCGTAACGTTAGTTAAACAAAGGACTTTAAAGCTATGCTATATTAAATGGATAATGTGCTTCTTCAGGAGCACCACTAACGTTATGGTTATAACGTTACTGGTGTCGACGTTGACCCTGAGCACAGTTGTACAAGGTTTGTAGGCGAAATACTTTTTATGTACTTAACTTAGCACGTGTATCATTAGTTTGATAGTAACAAAAGATGGTCGTGGTAGTAACGTTATACTAATGGATCGGGTATCTGTAGGGTCCCTGTACGTTTTGATAGTTTGTTTTTTCATTTGAACCAATAAACGAGAAAACCACCATTTTTTCGTTTGGATTGAAAGATTTTGGGCCGATTTCCCCGCTTCCGACAATCCTGGCTATGTCCCGATTATCTTGATGGTTCTACAGATTATCTTATCAGATTCTCCCTGGTGTGAGGTGTGTTAAGAGTGTCCGAACCTGATCGGAAGAACGTCCCGATCGCGAATCCTGATGTGGGGGGGGGATCCCCGAGGAAAAACGCGCGCACGTTCTGGAGATTATCACATGAAACGAAACAATATCCAATCATAAAGCGAGATGATAGAAGACGGAAGCATAAGAAACACAGTCATGGCGGAGCACAAGGTGAAATTAATGTGGACAGCAGAGATGGAGGATCAGCTTGTGGATTTGTGGCAACAGCACGAATGTTTGTTCAACGTCGCAATTTCTTCCTGCGTATCGTTCGACATGCTTATTCTGAAGTCTCGCGAGATTTCCTGTGTTCACAGCCACTAGAGGGCTGCAGTGCCGCAATAACCAGCCAAGTTCAAATGAACGAAATGAGTCAACAAAAGATTAGTTTATTTTAATGAACGAGATTTGAATGAACGAGTCAGTCAAAAGACTCGAACTTGGCATCACTAAATGCGAGCGACGAGACGAGTGCGCTGGTGTATGTAATGTTACATTAACGTCAGTCTAAAAGGTGCAACGCCGATTTTAGTTGGGGGATGATGTTAAAAGTAACGTTAGGCCTGTTCTGTAAGTTAACTTCACTTTACTTCTGTCACCCAAATCACATCACACATCAGTAGTCTCCTGTTGGTTATTCCCACAACACTTAGTTTGTTTTTTTATGTTTTTGGTATTTCAGTGTAACGTAATGGGCCGCGGAGATCTTCCTTTTAAGTTGGATATTCGGCATTTACCCTGTGTTAGCAGTATAAAGCCGGTTAACTCATCTCCGATGGGCTTATGACCTTCAAGAAATTATAAATGTTATGGAAAAATAAGCACTTTTTTCAGTAGATTTCATGTCACTGTGACACAGAGACTCCAAACCTATCCTGAATTGTAGTAATGTATTGCACAAACAAGACACCTTCATATTAGGTTTGCGTGCTTCCTCTATTTTATATATAATTTTTATGGTAAAATCAGTCTTTTTCTCAATAGCTTCCTTGTTACATGACCCAGGGACTGTCAACCAGTGCTGAATTTTAGTAATATAGTAATTATAAAACTAATTCATATTAGATTTGAGTTCAATAGATTCAATGTCAATGCAAACCTATGCTGACTTGTAGTATTACACTGGGTAAATGAGAAAAACGTCTCTGAGACGCACCTTTTTAGTCAGCCACCCTTAAATGACTATAAGGTAGGTTTGTTTGTCTCAATTACACACATATAGGTTGTAAAGTTAAATTTATGTTTGTAATTTCCTTCTGCTACGTAGCAGACAATATACGGTAGCCTAATGCAAAAGCAAAGAGTAACAGCAACATTTCATTTATTTCTATCATGTTAATTATCTAATATTAAAGGCAGTGGCCATGTGGCAGCCAGTCAAATGATCTATCACTTTCCCCTCACCTCAAAACTTCAGTGTTGTAATATAACCAACAGGAGATCACTGATGTGTTTCCCCTCAAAATTATGCAGAAGACCCTTGTTTCATGACTTAGCAGGATCATGGTAATTTTCCCCATCTTTACTAAATACCAAGCCGGCATCTTAAAATTATCCATTAATAATCCATTATTTCAGTGAGTTAAAGACGGGCCTTGTGTGGGCGGAGAGAAAAAGATGTAGTTGTTGTGTTTCTGCAAGGAGGACACCAGCTTCCAGATCCTCTGCCCAGGCCCAGCGTGAATGCTTCCATCCACGTGTGTTTATTAATGTGTTTGTGCTTTCTGAGTTGTGATCTGAAAAGCTGATTAGATTTTATGCACTTTACAGCTCTGCAGGTGATTGGAGGAAGCGCGACCGTGGTGCAAGGTGGGACTGCAATCTTACCGTGTACTCTCATTGACACCACGGAGCTTCTCACGCAGATTTCATGGCAGAGGAAGACCAGAGGAAAACCTCAGAATGACAATTTCTTCACAATCGTGTATTCAAATGGACCACAGTTTGTCAATGGACAGGATGATCGATTTAAATTTATTGGGGACGTTAAAAACAACAACGGATCTCTCCAGTTATCGAGGGTCACATTGATCGATGAAGGAACCTACACGTGCATCTTCACTTTGTTCCCCAGCGGAAATCACAAGACGGAAATACCTCTGACCTTGCTTGGTATAATGGCTTGTATTTAAAACGCTTTGGAGTGTGTGTGTGAGAGAGAGAGAGAGAGAGAAAGAAAGAGAGAAAGTGGTGGAGAGATTGATTTACAGTTTTACCCTTTTGCTTGCATGTTGACGTTTTGTGTGTGCTGTAACTCTCCTAGTGCCTCCAGTCATAAACCTGACTGATGATCTCCCTACTTTGGGTAATGAACGAGTTTCCCTCGTTACCTGTACGGCTGCTGCTTCCAAGCCTCCTGCAGAGGTGAAGTGGGTCACTGGCACTCTGGTAGAAAAAGTGAGGGTCATAACCAACTCCATCAAGCATGCCAACGATACAACGACCACAGTCAGCTCACTGTTTGGAGTACCTACCAGAGAACTCAATCAACAAATTGTCCAGTGTGTCGTCAGCAGCTCAGCCCTGTCCAAAGAGGAAATCCTGCCCTTCACAATACAGGTCTACTGTGAGTATACAAGTTCTTCATCAGTTCCTCCCTTTTTGCAGGTAAGGCCTTAAAGAATGACTGTCATCAGGAGAGTGATGATTGTCTAGCATATCATAGTGAATCCACTAGAGACCTAGGAGAGAGAGAACTGAAAAGATTTGAAGTTAGGATTCTCATTTTGATCAGTATTGCTCTGATGGACACCTTTTTACCTCCAGATGTGAGGCAAAAAGGTTTTTATAGACTATCTCATCTCAACAGTAAAAATTGACTCTTTCACAGGTTTCCTTGTTATTGCATATGAGATGATGATTGATGCACAAAATGTATCACTGTGACACGCATACAATCTCATTCTGTTCCACTTTGTGCTGCTGTGGTCTTTACAGTAATCTGATCTCATGAACAGGTGGCACCTAGTTTGTGTAAGACAGAATCCTACTTAGAAAACTTGTACGAGCAAGCCTCAAAGAAAAAATTAAGGGAGGTTAAGAGAGTTGAGAGAAGAATTCGAAAATGTTCTTCCAATGGTTTTAATTTCAACTGAGTCTTCATCAGGTCAGAGATTTGTGTGATGTGGGGGAGTCTGTGAACTCTGACTGCCTTTCCCCATAGATTTGCATGTGATCTTGATAACATGTGATGTGCTTCTGACATTGCAAAATCATCACTTGCTTTGCTTTTGACTGCTATTAAGGCTACTTAACAACTGTAGTTGTGGATTTCCTTTGTCAACAGGTTTTGAAATTATCCCTGCTTTTATGCCCTCTCGTCTCGTTCGCTCACTGTAGCTTCATGTTTCCTCAAGCAGGCTTTGTTTCCTCAAGGGCAAATTCTCTTGCCTGCCAGATGGGGAGACATTCCTTTCATACACAGTAGCAGACTTTGTTCAAGGGGCGTGATTGTTAGTTTTTCTGTGTCTTTTGGCATGTTGAGCCAGGAGCCACTTTATATCCTTGAGTCCAGATGTTGTGTTTCTTCTACTACTTCTTTGTCTTTTTTGTCTTTTTGCCCAGTACGCAATCTAAATCACAATTGCAACAGTCTTTAATTATATAAATGTTGATAAACCATGCCTGGGAGTGTGGCATAGGGTGCAGAAGAGTTGGCAATATGGGAACGACCCAAATGCAGACAGAGGAGGCAGCAGGATGACTTTCATGGTTCAGTTACCAAAAATAGTGCTTAGGTGCCTACCTGTACAGGCAAGTCCAGGATAAAGTTAAAGTCTGGATTTGGGTGACAGAAGCTTGAAAGCAAAAACACAAGGTCAGACAGGAACATGGCAACTAGGACAAACGGTAAGGTAACAAAGGATCTAGTGTTGTGTAGCGAATGACACAGTGAGAACAGATGATGTGAATGAGCAGAAGGTCACGTGACTGCAGGGCTGATGAGAGACGTGGGAACATTAGTGAGTTCAGCCCAACAAAAACAAACAAAACATTTATTTATAACAGAAATGGTGGTGCCTTGAACACCCAGCTGAGAAGGCCATTCTTTGCTTTCTTTTTTGAAGATTTTTTGGAGCCTGATGAATTTGGTTTAAAAAGGCTACGCGTTTAATACTAGAAAATATGCTCCGTGTTAAGAGTCACTTCCTCTGCCCTCCACAATAGCAGAACATTCCAATCGAGGGAGTGGTATATGGAAACTGGTTTCTAATTACAGTGGACAAATATTTGTCTTGCATTTTAGAATGACATCATTTCAGGAGAAGGACTCCACTTCTTACCATCAACGCTGTGTTACGATCTGTATGAGCTAATCATTTTGAGCCTGTTGCTCACTGTTTTGAGGAAACATGTTCAGCCCTGAAACCATAGCAAAAGAGCACACCATTTTCAGAATGGAGCCTTAGTTTTGTGCTATAGATTGATTATGTACAAGTAGATTGATTATGTACAAGTAGATCATGAACTGTTGTTTGTGCTCCCCCAGCAGCTCACTCTATACACCAGTCATCCATTGTTCCACCCAACTTTTCTGTGAGACTTAACATGAAGCTGATTCAATGACATTATTGTCTGAAGTGAAAGAATCCCAGATACTATTTCAACTATCTGTCAGCTATTGTAACCTTGCTGTGTGTCAATACGTTCAGCTTTTGCCAGCTGTAATGTTAAGATCTGTGTGAATTGTGATATTTGAGAAGTGAATGCTTTTAAAAGTTTTTCCTTTTTAAATGAATGGATTGTGGATGTACAGTCTATAGTTTTTTAGAAGCATCCAAATGCATTACGGTTAAGAAATCTGAGTTTATCATGTTTTAACAAGACCAGGAGTAACAAATAAAACCTCAGTAATGTCCAATACTGAGCAGTGTCTAGATGCAGTTTTTCAAATCAAGTTCTGTAATCCAAAAGTCCTTAAAGTGTCTTGGAAAGCAAGATAACCCTGTTTCGGGACAAATGGGATGATGTGGACAAAACGTTGGTGTTCACTATGATTATGTAATTGTTATTTTCTCAGTTACAGCTCATACTTTCCCTGTTTCTTGCAGTTCCACCCATCGAAGTGAATATTATTGAAAGATCCAAAGGCTTGTTTGAATGTGTGACTGAAGCCAACCCAAATGCAAACATTACCTGGAGCAGGTACAGTATTTAAAATGAAATTCTAATCCAAACTAAACCTATATTAATTTTTTACCTTGAAGCGTTGTTTGGTTTGTCGTCCTCACAAGCTTTGTACTATGGTGAAGAGTTGGGTCATTAGCCAAGTTAAACTGAATGATTTAAATTGTATGTTCTGAAATTTTATTTTGGATTATAGTTGTAGCTGCAATAAACCACCGTAAGTGATCTGATGTTACTCTGATGAAATTTTGAAACTCATAATTATTAAGCTTAGTGTGATAACTTAGCCCATTAGCAGCCCACTGGACAGTCATCAACCAGAAGAAGTCAGTATTTAATCATTAGCTGGCTGGGCAACTTGGGCGAATGTCTGAACGTACATGTTCAGGTTTTTGTAAATATCCAGTCCACGCTTTACAACTTTCATCACACTGTATTTGGCATTCAGCTTTCTCTGTGAAAACTACACTAAACAAAGTGGAACGCCCTACCAGACAACATCAGTATCCTTAAAGTCAAATTGAAAACGACTGCTAAAGCTACTAAACTCTGAAACCACTGACTCTGCTTTTGATTCCTTGCTTTTAATTTGTCTGACATACAACTGCTGGTGTGTGTGAGATGTACTACTGTGTGTAACTTTGCATTGTGTGTCTTGTTTAGTTTCTTTAGTGCTGTTCTATCACTGTGTGGATGTTTTAATTGTGACCTGCCCAGGGGCTGAAAATGAAAAGTTGCTGTAAGCTAACACAGGTGCAATACATCAAAGGTGACATTTATGTTGAATATTGGATAAGGTCCGTTACAAATAAAATGTGTAAAATTCTAATAAAATGTTTTCAGTAGTTTATAACTAATGCAATCATTTCTTCATCAAAAGCCTTGTCTGCAAAGAGACAATAGTGCTGTAGTGTTAAAAAAAAAATAAAAAAGGTAGGCTCACAGTGTAGTCAGACATGCACCATGTGGTCTACCAATAAAAGAATGTCACCCTGCCTCTGATGAGGTTTTACTAATTCACTTACAGTGCAGATGTTACTAACACCAACGATATGTATACAACCAAAACAGGAAGCATGGACTGCAACCTTCTTTTTATTTTTGAACATTTTGACAACCTGTCTGATAATCATATATATTTTTTGTTATTATTAGTGCTAATAAATTGTGACTTTACGAATACGACAATGAAAGTTTCATAGGATATCAGTTAAATATGACACAAATATGTTCATATGTCTATGTGAAAAAAATATATATAGTAGTCCTAATCTTAATATAGAGCGGGGTATCATCAATCTCAGACATAACAAATCCAGTATATTTTATACACTTGTTTCCACTTCCGTTTGGGGTCACTTAGAAATTATTATTACTTATTTTTGAAAGGAAAGCACTGTTTTCTTCAATGAAATTAACATTAAATTAATCAGAAATACAGTCTTGACATTGTTATAAATGACTATTCTAGCTGGAAACGGCTGATTTTTAATGGAATATCTACATAGGTGTACAGAGGCCCATTTCCAGCAACCATCACTCCTGTGTTCTAATGGTATGTTGTGTTAGCTAATTGTGTTGATTACAAAACCATTGTGCAATTATGTTAGCACAGCTGAAAACTGTTGTGCTGATTAGAGAAGCTATAAAACTGGCCTTATTTTGCTAGTTGAGTATCTGGAGCATCAGCATTTGTGGGTTCGATTATACTCTCAAAATGGCCAGAAAGAGAAATTTCTTCTGAAACTGGACAGTCTGTTCTTGTTCTGAGAAATGAAGGATATTCCATGCAAGAAATTGCCAAGACACTGGAGATTTCCTACAACGGTGTGTACTACTCCCTTCAGAGAACAGCACAAAAAGTGGTAGGCCCGGGTGCACAACTAAGCAAGAGGACAAGTACATTAGAGTCTCTAGTTTGAGAAATAGACGCCTCACCGGTCCTCAACGGGCAGCTTCATTAAATGGTACCTGCAAAACGCCAGTCCCGACGTCCACAGTGAAGAGGCGACTCCGGGATGCTGGCTTTCTAGGCAGAATGGCAAAGAAAAAGCCATATCTGAGACTGGCCAATAAAAGGAAAAGATTAAGATGGGCAAAAGATTACAGACGTTGGACAGAGGAAGATGGGGAAAAAAGTGTTATGGACAGATGAATCTAAGTTTGAGGTGTTTGGATCACACAGAAGAACATTTGTGAAATGCAGAACAAGTGAACAGATGCTGGAGGAATGCCTGATGCCATCTGTCAAGCATGGTGGAGGTAATGTGATGGTCTGGGGCTGCTTTGGTGCTGTTAAAGTGGGAGATTTGTACAAGGTAAAAGGGATTTTGAATAAGGAAGGCTATCACTCCATTTTGCAACACCATGCCATGCCCTGTGGCCAGCACTTCATTGGAGCCAATTTCCTCCTACAACAGGACAATGACCCGAACCTCCAAACTATGCATGAACTATTTAGGGAAGAAGCAGTCAGCTGGTATTCTGTCTGTAATGGAGTGGCCAGCACAGTCACCAGATCTCAACCCTACTGACCTGTTGTGTGAGCAGCTTGACCGTATGGTACGTAAGAAGTGCCCATCAAGCCAATCCAACTTGTGGGAGGTGCTTCAGGAAGCGTAGGGTGAAATTTCTTCAGATTACCTCAACAAATTGACAGCTAGATCGCCTGGTCTGCAAAGCTGTAATTGCTGAAAATGGAGGATTCTTTGGATCTATTTTTCAATGTCTTCACTATATTTTATATTAATTTTGCAACTCATTTGATGAATAAAAGTGAGTTTTCATGGAAAACATGAAATTGTCTTGGTGACCCCAAACTTTTGAACGGGTGTGTATGTGTGTGTGTGTGTGTGTGTGTAATATATATATATAATGTGTAACCGCTAAGCTTAAAACAGCCGAGGGTTATGCCGAGGGTTAAAGTGGGCTATAGTTGACGCGCTTACCGTGGTCGCTTTGGCTTGATTGAGCAATGATACAACAAAGCTTAAAGTTATCTTTTCTTCTCTGTTGTGAGAGATGTTTATTGGATTTACACAAGGATTTCCTTTTCCATAACAGAACAATATTCCATCTTCACCAACAGTCACTTAACATGCATTCAACCACAGCCTCCGTCGCGTGGCGTGGCGGTCAAAAACTAGTTTGCCCTTTTCCCTCTAGCAACACCTGTCCTTGATTACAGCTAGCCTAAGTAGATAAGCCCCAATCACTATGCCATAACCCTAGTGCCACCTAATGGCCAAACCTGGACATAAACATTGAAATGGCTCCTACATAATGTGTGTGTATGTATGTATGTATATGTGTGTATACGTGTATATATGTATGTGTATATGTGTAATAAAACAATGGAACAACAAAGACTAAAGACAACACACTGAATTATCAAAAGAAGCAAAAAATGTGTATATGTAAAATTGTGACTTTGATGGGAAAAATAACTCCCTCAGTAATGATACATCCTGGCCAAAATAACAATTTACTCTCCCAGTGGTGATTTCCTGAGAAACGAAGACAGATAATGGCGCAAAAGCCGACTCCCATTATTCACTTAACTGAGTCGGCTCATAGACCTGACTCATTCACGACCGACACATCACTAGTGTTTTGTGAGTCAGATTTTGGTTTCTGCTGCAGTTTGTGTCGGTTCTTTGCACTGAAACCTACTACTAATGCTACTTTTAAGGTTGGAAAACAAAATCTCAATTGCTGAAATTGTTTTGTGAAATAAGAGAAGACCGATACTGCCTCCGAATCTGTCTGTTAAATACGAAGCTACAGCCAGCAGCCAGTTAGCTTAGTTTAAAGACAGGAGACAGAGAAACAGTTAGATTGACTCTGCTCAAAACCAAGAAATAGTCCAGCACATAACTCCCTGTTAAAGAGCAAATCATCATTGTTACACTTCAGTTATTATGTGGATTAAACAATCGAGATTTAACGTGCTAATAAGTGAGCTTTAGAGGTGCTGGTACGTGTATTTTGTCACCTTTTAAGGGAAGCAACATTTGATGAGGTCTGAGGCAGGAAAACCAGCAAACCTATCCTTTAATATGAATTAAGAACTAATACTTGAAATTCATTTAACTTTTGGCACAACTCTACTATTTGCATCATTTTTCTGTCCTATTGCTGTAAGTCTGTAATTTGCTGTACATTGCACGCTGAACCTTTTGTGTGTTTCAGATCTGACCAGTCACTGCTTCCATCGGCTGTCAGAGTTGTGGGTGCAACTCTACAGTTTCTGAGCGTGAGCTCTGAGGTGAATGGCCTCTACCAGTGTGAAGCATCTAACCCTTATGGAAGAAGACATGGTTACCTCTATGTATCTGATGTGCCTTCAGGTGAGGGTGGGGGTGGGGCGTTCAAATGCGTTGGTGTTTGTTGCATTTTTTTCCTGCTCTGTGTGTTTGAGTCTGTTGTGGATGATGCGTGACTCTTTATTCACTTTTGGTGTCTCTTAATTTAAAATAAAGAGAAAAAGAATGAATTTCTGTAAGTTATACCTATGGACATGATGAAAAGTACGGAAATCTAGATTTGGAGTAGAATCACTGCATGTATTTGATCAGGTCTCCTCCTCAACTCTTCATTGTGGATGTATCCCAGTCATGTCCAAGTGAATGGAAAAGCCGTTCAGAGTCAAAACACAATTGATAGTTATTTATTCCCTTGGAAGTGGAAAGAGTGAATCTAATTTGTACAACTACATAAAAGTTCAAGCATTTCCTGTCTTGTAAAATGTTCTGTATCCTGATCATGGGAATTTCATGTCGCAGTTGCTTTTTTCTGACACAGGACCTACCAGGAGAAGAAGGCTTGTCAGTAAAAAAAAAACCCTTTAGCCAGTGTTAGCTGCATGGTGTTTGACTGTAACGTTAGTCAACTTAAAGTAATGTGCGTAATATAAACCTAAATGCATTAAACATGAAATACAAGAAACACCTGTGCATGTTGGCACAACATCTTACAGTATAGACAAAAGAAGGAAAACACAAACGCAGAGAACCTGCTTTCAGAAAGAAAATTAAATTGCATGTTTTTTACAGCATGACAGAGCAGGAAATGTATAACTAATGACATTAAAACTGAAAAGCTGTAGTTAAGTGAAAAAAACACCCCAAAGAAATGTAATTTAAATTATTACACATTTGTTAATGGAAAGCAAAATGTCTGTAATATACTGTATCAGTGTTTCCTTTAACTGTATCCTCCTTTCTTTTGTCTCTACAGCAGCCTGCCCTACTTGTTGGACCTTATTTGTTCTTATACTTATCCTGATTGTAGCTGCTGCTGCAGTGTTGTATTTCTATAAATTCAGGTATTTTCAAGGTGTCAAGTACACTTGTACTGCATACACTTAAGTGGAATGTACAACTGCTAAGTATATAAGCATATACTGTATGTACTATGTAAATATTTTGATGTATATTAATTGGTGGTCCATTATCCAGGAGAGAGAGGGGGCAACGTGTCCCAACAACAGAGTCACCTGTCACTTCAGCGAGAGAAGGAGCAGGAGGAGTGGAAGCCGCAGCACTAGCAGAAATGAGAACACATGCAGAGGAAGAGGTAATGTATAATATTTTATTTGTTACAGCCCGTAGTGGCTATTTCTTATTTTCCTCAAAGTTAAAACTGTGACCCTCAAATGTTTCCATCAGTGACTTAATATAAAGCACAATTACTATGTTAGCAGTTATCAAAGATATACTGTATTTTGCGCTTTAGTTATGTAGTAGTACAACATACAGTGTAGTAGTACACATAATGTGTTTTCCTGGAAACAACTGGACAATTCAACTAAGATCATTAATTTATATCACACAGATGTGTAAAGATCAGTAAGCATAAGCTCTAGTGGTTACTGTAGCTTTAGCCACAAGTAATGCACTACATAGACATAGAGCAGGATGTTCAGTGTACATGTTTAATGGGCAGGGCCATCTACTGTGCTGAAGGAGGTCCTATGCTAAACAGATCCATCCTTGGCTCAAGAATGGAGCCAAATCTTTTTTAACCCAAAAGGTCAAAGGTTAACTTCACTGTGACATCATAATGTCGTGGGGGAAAAAACACTTTTTGGCCATTATTCAACACCATAACTCAGGAACAGAAGGGGAGATTGTGACCATATTTCACAGTTGGTCAGGTTACACTTTTGAGGTCATTGTGACCTCGTGTTAAGTTTTTAACCACAATTTAAGAATGAAGTGGGCAATCTCAGATTTCACATGTTGACACAATACAATAACTAGCACAGTAAAGGCTTTCCTCCATGTTGTCCATTCTGTCTTTCACTTTGTAATGATGATCCTGTGAGTGAGTTTCACCTGCAGCTCATAGAGAGGCTCTGCATCTAAAAATGGCAGAAGAAAACAAAAGCAGCACATTTTGTGTTTTGTGCTGTACTCACATAAGAATCCATCTTTACATAGTTATCAGGTACATGTGTACCTGTGTAGCCAATACATCTTTGATAATTCTTCATTAATCAGTTCAGCAATGTATATTCACTGAAATCAAACATATCCACCATCAATTTAGTGACAACTTTTATCTAGCCAAAAAACACTTTATACCTTTTATTCAGTTCCTTCCAAGTATTCACTACATACAATAATATATGTAGTCTGGACGGATGTAAACAACAGTTTAACTGCTTGCTGGAGGCATACAACCACGGGGAGCGGTAGATCTAGTTTCCTACAATGTTTGTTTACTTATGTTTAGTGTCTTAAATGTTCGTTCCAAAATAAATAAAATGTTTTATATTGTCTGCCTTAGGAACCTGTGGAAGCAACAAGATCGTAGTTGGACTGCAGGCAGTTTACAGACTCGGCCCCTAACATGACTGGTTAGTGAACAGATGCAGCAGTGCAGTAATATACCAAATATCCAACAGACCAGGAATGAAGAGTGCAAACTATATGAGGAGCTTTCAAGCACCAACGGAAGCAGAAAAGAATTTGTATTCAAAGGGAAAGTCTGTTTAACTGACTGCCACAGCTAACTGTTATTGTGTGGTTTTAACTGCCTACTGGGCTTTATCAGCATAGGCTCTAACTGTCATGATAATATAGTTCTGCACATGTATTCACAACAACAGCATTAACTGCTAACAATAGCAGATGATTATGTAGCATTTTACATGGACACAAAAGAACAGGTTCGTCTGAGAAAACAGGTCAGTCAACACGTTTTGTGCTGTAGTAATGTAGTTCCAATCAGCATATACAAGCAACAGGTTAGTAATTAAGTTTCTTCCCTTCCCCATGTTTCTTAACCTCATAAGTGTATAAGTGATGCAAAATGCTGCCTTATGTTTTGTGTGTTATCAGAGAATTTGGACTTCCTTACAATGTGTCAGAATTTTTCAAATTGTTTCCCTTTTATTTAGACTTTAAACTTATCATGACCTTATCAGATTACTGCAGAAAACTGACTGTAACTTGATTACCTAAGTGCATGTCAACAAACTGGTGGCCAAGAAATGATTCATGAGAGTTTGACTGGAAAACTTGAGAGTATGGAATGAAAACTTGAGAAGCTTGTGGTGGCGGAGGCTCATCACAGTGCACCTAAAAAAGAACACATGCCAATAGACAAAACGTATAAATTAAGAAACATATTCGGCAATACAATGTCACGTTTCTGCAAATACAGAAAACAAAATCAAAATAGCTAAAACAGAAAGAAAGTACCATGCAAAATTTCACAACGATGATAATGATGTCACAGTTGAGAGGCTACAACAGATGCCCCCAAATTAAATGTCAACAGCACTTTTCTTATGTCTTTATTTATTCAAGTTTATTTCACTGTGCTGAATACTGTGCACAATCTCTTTGCTCAATTCTCCTGCTGCTATCTTCGGCATCCTATCATATTAAGCCAGAAATGCCTAAAACTTAATGTCGGAAGTCAAAAAAGAAATTCTTTCCACAGCAGTGAATGTGCTTAATCACTTGTCACATATGGTTTCTTGTTTTAGTTGTTATGTCTTGAAATAACAGTATCAGTAAAGTGCAAAGGCTTTTATTTCTCCAACATCAGTGTTTTGAGCTCTTCAGTAATGGGTAAACTGCTGAAGACAGACTGAACTCTAAAATGAGCTAAAATAGGATTTGATGAAGTTTGTGAAATTAAGGTCAAAAATGAAGTTCTATGTTACAAAAACTTCAGAAAAAGTTTACTCTAATGTAAAAAGTTGCTTATGGTTACTTTGGCTCATTCTTAGATTAGATACAGAACCCCGTCCACACTACTCCGATTTTGTTTAAAAACAGAGTTTTAATGCGAATATGATCTCTGTCCACACCAGTGTTTTAGCTGCGTATCAGAGTTGATCTCTGTCTATACTATACCAACTGAAAACACACATCTAGTGGCTGTTCACGTACACTGGGCATGCGCACCGGTGTAAACGTGAAACAGATGATGTATTCTGTAGTTACAGAAGATTTGGCGAAAGAATAAAGGATTGCAGACAAAGAACCAAACCAGATTTTTTTTTTTTTTTTTTTTTTTGCATGGACCAATAACGAGCTGGGACTGTTGCTGAAAGTAACGCAGGAGTTTAAAGAGGCTGTGGCAGCGGAAAACAGACTGGAAGTTGTAAATACGGCGACATGCACAGTACAAGTGTATGTTATTTACGCTGTACAAAATATTTTAATAAAAATATGGAATCAACGCTGCTTCTGATTGGCTAGTAGTCCTTACCTAGCTACTATGTAAATATGGTGTTTTTTGAAAATGAAACCACGTAAACTTATTCTGGAACAGCCCCTAAATATATTTATGAACCTGAAAAAGAGCATAATTTGACCTCTTTAATGTTAGTAAGATACATCATCTGGGGAATGTAAATGAATACACCAAAATATATGTTGATCCTTGCAGCAGATGTAATTATATTTCACTGCACTGTTGAAACTCGAGACTTGCTGGCTGCAAAAAATGAAAAGTTATTAGGACTCATCCTGTGGGGACCTTGAATGATTTTTATTGCAATCCATCTAAGTTTTCAGTCTCGTGACATGTGCGGTGATCTGGAGGGCAAAACAACAGACCAACATAGCGGCTCACACCGCAACTCCTCCGTAGAGACGTGGCAAAAGCAGTCAAATTTTAAAAATCAAATCGCAAAAAGTAATAAACTCAACGTAACAGTGTATCACTTGCTTCCTGACTGGCAGACAGCGGAAAATAACGTCTTTTTACCCTCCAAGGGAGTGTTTTTCTTGGAATGTGACATCACGTGAGAACTATGAATAGTTGTTGAGACATTCCACACAAAACTAGAAATGTGGGAGCTCGAGGAAAATCCAAGGATCACTGGCGTTCATCCCCTGGGGAACAGGAATGTGTGTACAAAATTTCATGGCAATCCAACCACCAAGTGGTGGACAAATTAATCCAATTTTCCAAGATCTGTTTTTAGATTTAATCTTAGTCCTGAGTTTAAAAGTCCAGTTTTAGTCCGATTTAGTCAAATTAATCTTTCATAGCCTTAATTACATTTGTATATAGATGTGTGTTTGCAACTGTAAACCACAAATCTTTGTATAGTGCTCTCCCTTCCACTTCAGGTTATTGGTAACAAGTAAATTACTGATACTCCTGAAATAATCGTATTTAAAGACAGTTAAGTCAAACTTAAAAGCAACAAACTCAGTCTCTCAGGTTCGCTTCATCATACTCCTATGTTTCAGTTGTAACTGTTATACTCACAACTGTACCCATAAAACTAAAGCAGGTAGTAGATATGAAATCCCTTTTCCCAATTTTCCTAATAAAATGTATCAAAACACAGCACCGTAGCACTTCTTCTGGTCAAAATTTTAAATCCTACCGCACATATACAGTCCCCTCCAAAAGTATTGGAACGGTAAGGCAAATTCCTTTGTTTTTGTTGTTCACTGAAGACATTTGGGTTTAAGATCAAAAGATGAGTATGAGACAAGAGTTCAGAATTCCAGCTTTCATTTTGTGGTATTCACATCTAGATGTCAGGAAATACCAGCCTTTGTTTGAACCCACCCATTTTTCAAGTGAGGAGAACTATTGGAACATGTGGCTGACAGATGTTTCTTGTTGCCCAGAAGTTGCCTTTTAGGTTGATTGTCCAAACATTAAATAGCTCTGCATGACTAGTCTAAGTTTTCATCCTTGGTTCAAACCTATAAAGACTGCATTTCCTGTTAAAGAGGATAAACCAACATGAAGACCAGAGAGCTGTTTATGGGAGAAACGCATGCCATTGTCAAGCTGAGAAAAGACGGAAAATCGACCAGAGCCATTGGACAAACATTGGGCATAGCAAGCACAACAATTTGGGTTGTCCTGAAAAAGAAAGAAACTACTGGTGTACTGAGCAACAGACGCCAAGGAAAACAACAGTAGTTGATGACAGAAATATCGTGAGAGTTGTGAAGAAAACATCAGTAAGTGACATCACCAACGACCTCCCCAGTGCAGGGGTGAAGGTATCAGAATCCACTGTTTGAAGAAGACTCAGAGAGCAGAAATATAGAGGCCACACCACAAGATGCAAACCACTCATCAGCAGTAAGCTGAGTAAGTAAATTTGCAAAGAACTACAGAGATGAGCCGCAAAGGTTCTGGACCACAATCTTATGGACTGATGAGACCAAGATTAATCTCTACCAAAGTGATGGAAAGGCCAAAGTGTGGAGAAAGAAAGGAACTGCTTATGATCCGAACCATACAAGCCCATCTGTGAAGCATGGTGGAGGTAATGTCATGGCTTGGGTGTGCATGGCTGCTTCTGGAACAGGCTCATTAATATTTATTGATGATGTAACTGTTGATGGTAGCAGCAGAATGAATTCAGAAGTGGACAGAAACATTTTGTCTGCCAATCTACGGAGAAATGTGTTGAAACTAGTCGGTAGGAAGATTATCATGCAGCAGGACAATGACCCAAAGCACACTGCCAACAAAATAAAGGACTTCATCAGTTGAAAAAAGTGGAAAGTTTTAGACTGGCCAAGTCAATCACCCGACCTTAACCCAACAGAGCATGCATTTCACCTCCTTAAAGCCCCCCTCCAGCCAGTTTTAACTGCCGTTTTTGGTTAACGTTCTTTCTCAAACAGAGAATGGGAGTGTGGTTAATAGTCGGACATAATACATTACCATGACAACCAAAAACTGACCGGCTGGAGTGTTCACTAACGATATGCTGTGTTAACATCACTACACTGTAAAGTTTAGTACATTTTACTGTCTGGCAGGAGTAGCTATTACTTACCCATGATAGAAACTAATAATAATAATCTTTATTTGTAGAGCACTTTTCAAAAACAAGTTACAAAGTGCTTTAACAAGTGTAAAGACAATAATACAAAAACAATACAAGATAAAAGCAAGAAAACATTGAAAAGACTAAAATACACGTTTAAGATAAATATAAAATAAGTAAAATAGAATAAAAATAAACAGGGATAAAATAAAGTCAAAAAAGATCGGGAAAGGCTCTCCTATAAAAGTATGTTTTAAGAAGGGACTTAAAAGAGTTCACTGACTCAACCGACCTGATTTCCTCGGGCAGGCTGTTCCAGAGCCTCGGGGCCCTGACTGCAAACGCTCTGTCCCCTTTCAGTCGAGACTCTGGAACAGACAGCAGACCTCTGCCCGAGGATCTCAAGGTATGTGCTGGTGTGTATGGGACTAAAAGGTCGAAAATATAACAAGGCGAGAGGCCATGAAGAGCTTTAAAAGTGATCAATAAAATGTTAGTCAATTCTAAAGCATACTGGGAGCCAATGTAATGAAGCTAAAACAGTGGTCATATTTCTCTGTTCTGGTTAAAAGCCTGGCAGCTGAGTTCTGGACAGTCTGGAGTCGATCAGTAGATTTTTCGGTTAAACAAGTGAAAAGGCTGTTGCAATAATCCAGGCGTGATGAGATGAAGGCGTGTAAAATGGTCTCGGTGTCCTTAAAAGTTAACATAGATCGAATTTTTGCTATATTTCTAAGTTGATAAAAACATGATTGAACAAGCTTTGTGGTGTGCTGCTCAAAATTTTAATTACTATCAAACCAAACACCAAGGTTCTTTGCCACAGGCTTAATGTGATTTACTAGGGAACCAGCAGATGGCAGTATTTGTTTTGCCATCTGCTGGGACCCAATGACCAGGATTTCTGTTTTGTCAGAGTTCAGCTGGAGAAATAATTTGACATCTAATGTTTAACATCACAAAGGTAGTTGTTAAGTGAACTCAGCATTCCAGGGTCTGTGGATCTGACGGGCAAGTACATTTGTGTGTCTTCAGCATAAATATGAAAAGAAATACCATGTTTATGGATAATATGTCCAAGGGGATACAAGGAAAACAAAATGGGTCCTAAGACCGACCCCTGAGGCACACCGTATTTAACTGGACAGAACGAGGAGACATAGTTGTTTACAGACACGCAAAACTTCCTATTTGACAGGTAGGATGAAAACCATTCTAGGGCAGTACCAGAGATCCCCACCCAGTGCCTCAGTCTGTCTAACATGATGTTGTGATCAGTGGTGTCAAAAGCAGCGCTAAGATCCAGGAGTACCAGGACTGAGCACATACCTTCATCAGCAGACATTAAAAGGTCATTGGTGACTTTAAGAAGGGCAATCTCAGTGCTGTGGTACTTCCTGAAACCAGATTGAAACTTTTCAAATATTTTGTTATTTTCCAATACTGAGCAATTGTTTGGACACAATTCTTTCTAGAATCTTTGCAATAAAAGGCAGTTTTGAAATTGGTCAAAAATTTTGTGGGAGGGAGGGATCTAAACCAGGTTTCTTTAAAAGTGGGTTCACGCAAGCCGTTTTTTAAATAATCAGGGACACAACCAGTTGATAGGGAGCTGTTGAAAACAGAGATTAAATGGGGCCCAACAGAATCCATTACTTTCAGTAAAAACTTTGTAGGTATTACATCAAGTGGGCTGGAGGACAATCATTTGTGATACTGTTTTTAAAAGCTCAGACAAGTCGATGGGATAAAACTGGTTAAAACTCTCTTGCTGCTGGTGAGGGACCTCTGAGTGAGAGGCCATGGGGGTCATAGAGGCTCTGATTGACACCACCTTATTGGTAAAATAAGATAAAACCAATTCATAGTCATCATTACTTCCAGCTGAGGCACAAGGAGGGGTTGGGTTTACCAGCTGATCCACAGTCTTAAACAGAAACCTGGGATTGTGTTTATGTGTAGTAAGTTCAGAAAAATAGTGTGTTCTCGCATCCTTAACCATGTTGTTGTAGTTAGTTAATAAATCCATCAGACTGAGGTAATGGACTTGGAGAATGGATTTCTTTCCCATCTGCGCTCTGCTTTCCTGCATTCCCTTTTTAGGCTGCGAATGCTGTCATTTATCCAGGGTTGCTTACTAGCTTTAGACGTAGGCCTAACCTTTAGAGGAGCAGTAATATTTAGTGACAACAAGCAGATATGATTGAAGTGATCAACCAGATTGTTGGTGTTGGAATCAGACATGTGTTGGCTTTGGCTCTGAAAGAATGTGCAAAACTTTGAAACGCTTTGTTCATTAAAAATGCGAGAACACACGGAGCTTGGTGAGGCGGCATGAGTAACAGGCGAATCGCAGTTAAAAACAATACATCTGTGGTCAGATATGGTCATGTCCACTAATTCCACAGAGGAAATGCTGACACCCAGGGTAAAAACCAAGTCCAGTGTATGACCACGGTTATGGGTTTGCCCTTTGACATGTTGTTTGAAGGTAAAAGAAGTGGCCATATTTAAAAAGTCAGTTGCATTAACATTGGTGGGGTCATCAACATGAATAATAAAATCACCACAAAGAACAATTCTGTCATAATTTAAAACCAGAGTAGATAAAAATTCAGGAAGTTCTGATAAAAATCCTCCAGGCGGTTTTGGGGGGCGATAAATTCTAACAAATACGATAGGTTGCAGCCCTCCAAGTTTAAGAGTGAGAACTTCAAAGGAGTTAAATTCATCACAGCGTACTTGATGACATTTTAAATTTTTCCTATACACGCTTACTAGCCCACCACCACGACCACTGACCCTCGGTTGACTCAAACAATCATATTGAGGCGGACACAGTTCAGCTAGCTGGCTATAGTCATTCATTTGCAACCATGATTCAGTTAAAAACATAAAATCTAGATTTGCAGACAAGATAAAATCATTTAAGATAAAAGTCTTACTTGAAAGTGATCTCACATTGAAGAGAGCCATTTTAAATGAGTTTGTTCTGGGTGCTGGAGTTGGTATAGTTGTCCTAATCCTTAAGAGATTACTATTATTTCTGTGTGGGATGTGCACATTTTGGTTTACTGGTCTATATGTGATGACAGGAATAGAAGTCTTTGGAACAGCGCTGGGAGCAGACGACTTTACATGCCAGCAGGTGGAGACAGTTGTTTGTGGCAGTGAGGCAGAGATCTTTCAGTGAGCGGTGGTGTGTCCAGGTGTGCTGCATGAATGATTAGTCATTCACATAAGTCATGTGTGGAGGACTGCACCACATGCTGTATGTGAGCAGCTAACATTTCTGAGCCCCGTTTGTTTGGGTGAAGTCCGTCTGTCTTAAAAAAGAAAAATATTAAAGTTATCAACATAACACACACGGTGAGCCCTGCAGGCGGACTGGAGCCATTCATGGAGGCCAAGGAGTCTGCTGAAGTGGCCAGCACCGCGACCAACTGTGGGAATGGGACCAGAGATAAAAACAGACCACACTGCTTTAAAAAGTTAAAAAGACGGTTAAAATCTGATTTTGCTTGCTGATTTCAGCTCAGACTGCTGA